CTGGATGAGAAACTGAAGAAGTAAGCATGGCTGTGGGGCACTGGAGTGCTGGGCTGGTGCAATTCCTTCTTCTCTGAGCTCTAACACAGTTTGCTTTGCCCAAAGGAAAGACTTTGAAATCAGCCAGATCCAGAGCAAAATCGAGGATGAGCAACTTCTGGGCATGCAATTACAGAAGAAGATCAAGGAGCTGCAGGCAAGCCTCTGTTCCTTTTCTTTCACCCAGACACAGGTCAGGTAGGAGGAGGGCATGGGTGTGAAGGGTCCCTGATGTTCCCCAGGCTCGTATTGAGGAGCTGGAGGAGGAAATTGAGGCAGAGCGAACCTCTCGGGCAAAAGCAGAGAAGCATCGGGCCGACCTCTCGAGGGAGCTAGAGGAGATCAGCGAGCGCCTGGAGGAAGCTGGCGGGGCTACCGCGGCTCAGATTGAGATGAACAAGAAACGTGAGGCAGAATTTCAGAAGATGCGCCGCGACCTTGAAGAGGCCACGCTGCAGCATGAAGCCACTGCTGCCACCCTGCGGAAGAAGCATGCGGACAGCACAGCTGAGCTTGGGGAGCAGATCGACAACCTGCAGCGAGTGAAGCAGAAGCTGGAGAAGGAGAAGAGTGAGCTGAAGATGGAGATTGACGACTTGGCCAGTAATATGGAGTCTGTCTCCAAAGCCAAGGTACAGATTTTCTGTCAGGTTACTGCCCTGTGATACATGACCTGATATATGATTTTGAACCTTCTGGTTACATTTTGCTATCACACACAGTTGCGTTGTTTTTCATCATGAGATCAACAAGCTAGAATTTAGTGATCATCCTCTTTACATGTATTTGTCATATAGGCAAACCTGGAGAAAATGTGTCGCACTCTGGAAGATCAGCTAAGTGAGATTAAGTCAAAGGAAGAGGAGCATCAGCGCATGATCAATGACCTCAATACTCAAAGAGCTCGTCTGCAGACAGAAGCTGGTAACACACTCTCACACCCCACTTGAGTGGCTGTTACCAATAATGACAAGAAAATGAGTGATGTTTTATTCAAATTGGTCTATAGTCTGTAAGCTGGTATACAGTGCTTTAAAGACACATTGGCTTAGTATTGCTTTTTAAATTACAGTCTATCTGTAAAATTTCTCAGGTGAATATTCACGCCAGGTGGAAGAAAAAGATACTTTGATATCTCAGCTATCCAGAGGCAAACAGGCATTTACTCAACAGATCGAGGAACTAAAGAGACATTTAGAGGAAGAAATAAAGGTAAAGGTACTTCCTGTAGGGGGTTTGACTTTAAATTCACATTGCATTTTCTTTCAGGATATTTCTTACTCTCATGTAAAATGAGAATATGTTAGCCATGCCATTTTAATTTGGGAGCTCTCAAACTAGACAATTTTGCCAATTCCCTCTCTTGTGTGGGAAGAAAGGTTGAGGAGTACATTGCCTCCAACCTGGATACTGAGACAGAGAAGGACAACCTTAGTAATGATGGCATATGAAAAAAGTTGAGATATATCTAAAAAGCTGCATTTCTTAATCTACTTTTCCATAATGGAAACTGAAAATTTAGTAAATATTGAAAAGGATTCAACAATTCTCAGCTTTGTAGTTGTCATTTAGAGATTACCTATCATCTCTCCCGAGGTAACATTCTAGATTCCCATCAGAAGCTTCTCAGAACATGGAATCAATGTACATTTTTTCCTTGGGCTGACTTCAAATGTCAGGTTGAAAGAGTCAACAACTTTCCCTAAGTTAACATTCTTTTGTCTCACAGGCAATTCATTGTCCCAATCCCATTGTCTCCCCAGGCCAAGAATGCCCTGGCCCACGCCTTGCAGTCTGCTCGCCACGACTGTGACTTGCTTCGGGAACAATACGAGGAGGAGCAGGAAGCCAAGGGGGAGCTGCAGCGTGCCCTGTCCAAGGCCAACAGCGAAGTGGCTCAGTGGAGAACCAAATACGAGACGGACGCTATTCAGCGCACGGAGGAGCTGGAGGAGGCCAAGTATGTGGAGATAGGATATGTATGTGAAGAACACAAGGAAGGCTGAAAGTTCAAAGGCAACATTAGAAGAGACACACCAAGACATTCTAGGGAATAAGTCATGTGTTTGCTTTGGGGAAGGGTAACAGAAAGTGGGAATCTTTATCTTATAGAAGGTTTAGCAGTTTAGTGGTTTAGTAAAGTGAAATGCTAAGAACAGCATAAATGAAGCCCTTCAGTCTGTGTGACTGCAGACTGCAAAATGATTAAGCATGCTTTAAGAAAAAGAGAAAGAACAATGGTTCCTCTGTGATAACTGTGAGCTGTGCTTACAGGAAGAAGCTGGCACAGCGGCTGCAGGATGCAGAGGAACACGTTGAAGCTGTGAATGCCAAATGTGCTTCCCTGGAAAAGACAA